TTAGACCTTATTGGAATTCAATACATACATTAATTAAAACTGTTGACAATTCAATTGATAATTTGAAATGAGTTTTGTCTCTTTAAGCAAATTCCCATAAATTTACCAAATTATAATAAAATTATACTAGGCCATTTTCTAATTTCTGCAACGACAATTATCACCCAATACTGGAAAGCTATTAAATCACCACACATAAATGTTGTGAACTAGCTTTCCACTTACCAACATCGAAAACTGAAATTTTGAAACAAGAGTGGCTTTTGTAGTCTGTTTCTGACCGGATGCTGATTGCTAAAATGTTGTATATATTTGATTGTGTATATAAACTGATAAGTTATTACTCGCATCCCACTGAATGATTGAACTTATAGAGTTTATCCCCTGTTTTATTATGTTATTTTCTAGATTAACTAATATTATTATTATATTATATCTTCTTGTATAAATGTTTATATTGTTTGAAAAATCTTCAATAAAAACACAGGCACACAGATACATAAAGACAGATACACATAGATTTGCATGCAGATACACAGACACATTTAATGAAAAACATTCAGATACACAGAATGACAAGCATACATATATATACAGTGACACACATACAGGGACATAGGGGCACAAAATGACACACATGCAACAGATACACATACAGACATACAGATATAGCTTGGTTGCTTCACCTAAGTGCTGTTTCTAAGTGTGTAGTTGGAGATATTCTGGAGAGTTTTACAGAAGCTTCAACTGTCTAAGTTGTGCTAAGAGCTTTCTTTTCTACTGTTACAGGTAAGATTCATCTGTAGGAAAAGGTTACTGATTGCCCAAGGTTTGAATTCCTGTTGTTAATTATAAGGCATTTGATTTGATTAAGCTAGTTACTTGCTATTGATTGCTGGTTAATTAGCTATTGTTTGCAAATAAGCAGAGGCCTACCCAGGTGTTAAACATTCCTAGTGGGTGGTGATTTTAGGAGTTATATAAGGCTTGTTGTCATTAGCTTGGCTAATATAGCTTGGTTGCTTCACCTAAGTGTTGCTTCTAAGTGTGTAGTTGGAGATATTCTGGAGAGTGTTGCTTCTAAGTGTGTAGTTGGAGATATTCTGGAGAGAAACTGGAGGTAATCTGAGGTATTCAGGAGGATAAAGAAAAAAGTTAAG